CAATTTGATTTAATCTTTCAAAGAACCAGCTTTTTGTTTTTTTAATTGTTTGAATTGTTTTCTTCATCTCAATTGAATTAATTTCTGCTCTAATCTTTATGATTTCTTGCCATCTTTGGACTCTGGGTTTGGTTTGCTCTTTCTTTTCTGGTTGTTGAAGGTGCAGCATTAGGGTATTTGTTCCCGTTCTGTTTTCCTAATGTGTGAGTTCACAGCTATGAATTTCCCTCTAAGAACTGCTTTCATCGTAGCCCATAAATTCTGATAAGTTGTGCTTGAATTTTCACTGAATTGTAGTTATTGTTGAATTTTTTGTTAATTTCATCTGTGACCCATTGTTTGCTGAGTAGGGTGTCATTTAATTTCCATATATTTAAGGTTTTTTTCTGGGGTTTTTTCGTCATTTATTTCCAATTTCATTGCACTGTGGTCAGATAACGTGCATGGGATAATTTCTGTTTTCTTAAATGTACTTAAGCATGACCTATGGACCAGTACGTGGTCTATTTTAGAAAATGACCCATGTGCAGCTGAGCAAAATGTTTATTCAGCTGTGTTTGGGTAGATCACTCTGTATATGCCCACCAAGTCCATTCGTTTCAAGCTCTGGTTCAGTTCTGTTATTTCTTTGCTAAGTTTTTGTCTGGTTTACCTATTTTTGGGGAATAAGGGGATGTTAAAGTCTCCTGTTAAGATTGTTGTATTGGATATGAGATTTTTTCATGTCCATTAGATTTGCTTTATATAGTTGGTTGCTCCCGTGTTTGGTGCATACATATCTATGAGTGTTACCCCTTCCTCTTGAATTTTTCCCCTAACCAGTATATAGTGGCCTTCTTTATTTCACTTGATCATTGTTGGTTTGAAGCTGAGACTATCTGAGGATAGGATTGCTACCCCTGCTTTTTTCTGAGGTGCTGGGACATGTAGTATTGTGTTCCATCCTTTGACTTTCAACCTCTAAATGTCTTTATGAGTTAAATGTGTTTCTTGTATGCAGCATATTGTTGGCTTTTGTTTCCTAATCCACTGTGCCAGGCTATTTCTCTTAAGTGGTGAATTGAGTACATTTACATTAATGGTTATAATTGATATGTATTGACTTACAATTGACATGTTATTTACCTGTTGTCATTTACTCCTTTTTCTCCTGTGTTTAATTGCTTGCCCTATTTAGTTGGTTGCTTCTGATCTCATTCATGGAGTTCTGATCATTTTGGTCCCTCTCTAGAAAATTTTTCAGTAGCCTGTGTATGTTTGGCTTTGTCATCATGAAATTCTTTAGCTGTTCTTTGTCATGAAAGTATTTCACTTCTCCATCAATCTTGAAAGAGAGCTTTGCAGGGTATAGTAGTTTGGGCTGCAATTTGTTTTCATAGAGAACTTGAAGTACTCTGCTCCATGCTCTTCTTGCCTGCATGGTTTTTGAAGAGAAGTCGGCCGTAATTCTGATGGGTTTTCCTTTGAATGTGATCTGCTTCTTTTCTCTAGCAGCTTTCAGTATATTGTTCTTGTGCTGAATTTCTGGGATTTTGACTATTATATGTCTCAGTGTGTTTTTCATTGGGTTGAGGTTACTTGGCATTCCGTATGCTTCAGTTACCTGAATGTCAGATTGTTTCCTCATATTTGGGAAGTTTTCTGCTATTACTTCTGCCCATATTTTTTAATGTTATTTGCATTGACTCTTTCTCATTGATACCTATTAGTCTCACATTGGTCATCTTTGCATCATCTTGCAGGTGATGGATTATTCTTTCCTGCATCCTTGTTGTTTTTAAGAGATCCTTTCTTACCTTTTCACTAGCTGCGCCAGCATCTTCAAGATCTGAAACTCCATCTTCACTTTCACTTCAATAGTTTTGCAAGATTAAGATTTTAATTTCCTCTATCTCTGACTCTGCTTCATGAGATCTATTTCTTTTCTGTATTGCTCATTCAAGGAATCCATCATTTTTCTAATCTCTATTTTTTTTTATCAATGTCTTCTTTAGAAGCAGTTATAAGTTCTTTTGCTGCAGTATTTTTTTCAGATTGGGTTTCCTCCCTATGTTTCTATAGTTGATGCTTTGCTTCAGATGTTATGAATTCTGAGAATTCTTTTTTTTATTTCAGAAAAGAATTCCGCTCTGAGTTCCGCTATAACTTTCCGCTGTTGCTTATTTACTATCAACGCTATTAATTCATACATTTGAGCTAAGCTCGTAGGAAAGAATTGCACTCTGAGTTCCTCTATGGTTTTCTGCTGTTGCTTATTTACTATCGACACTATTAATTCATACATTTGAGCTGAGCTAGTGTCCTCTGCTCTTGTTCTGGGTGGGCATTGGGTTTCCTCCATATGTTTCTGTATTTGATTCTTTACTGCAGATGTTCTTAATTCAGGGATTTCTTTTATCACTTCCAATCTGAGTTCCTCCTTACCTTTCTTCAGCTGTTTATTTCAGAAACTGTTGATTTATTGCTTTCAGGTGTGTGATTCCCAATTTGTTCTGTGTTAGTGTCCTCTGCACTTATTATGGGTGGGCTTTGGTTCTGAGATTACATTTTGCTTCTTCTCGTCATTTTGTGTAGCACAGTCTTCTGACCTTTGTTGTAGATCTTTGGTACAGTTATAACCTTAGCACCTACTGAAGTTCAGGTGCAGACCTATAAATTTGGATTTATCCAGTTGTGCTTGCCTTGGGTCTGGCTGCTGTGCTCAGTTCCTTCCTGCTGCTGCCCTTGGGGGTGAACCTGTTGTGGCCCTCTGGCAAGATGTTCTGCTCCTGGACTAGCTGGGTGGTTCTGTCCCCTACACTCTCTGCAGGGATTGCAGCTGCAGGGTTTCACCCTAGGCCTGTATGCCAGGCCTGAGCTGAGTCTGGATAGGACAAGGTGGAGTAATGGGAAGAGGCAGCTCTCCCACACACTGGGCCTGGGCCAGGACTGGATCTGTTGATTCCCGGAAAGGGGCAGAAATTCCTACTCTGGGGGAGGGGTGGGGGGGGTACTACGGAGTGATGGGGGGCATCCCTAAAGGGTGGAAGAGGGTTTCACCCACGCTCCGCCTAGGCTGGGAATAGTAGGTCCTGCCGGCACAGGGTAGCCGGAAGCTCTCCTACACACTCACCAGGCCTGGGCTAGGACTGGGTCTCCTCCCACACTTTCTGCCTGGGAAATCTCCTATGGAAAGCATTCATCTACAACCCAGGGACTTCTAAGTATTTTATTCATTTTTCTTTTGGTCTTTCTGCTGTTACTTTTCTACAATGCTCTTCCTTATTTTCTATGCCTAGAGAAAAGATCCAAGACTAAATAATGCTACTGTGGGACAAACGTTTTTTTTTCATTTAATTCCACAGAGTTTATAGCAACTAACATTGTTTGTTTTATAATTGTCACTCCCATTTTATCTTACATTGAAATATTACTATTGTAAGGATTAAGTAAGCTCAATTTGGTCATCTTTTTAAACCAAACCATAATGTCAGTTGTATTCATTTGTTGTGCCTCCAGAGTTCAAACTATGTTTGTCAAATAACTTACTTTCTAGTAAAAATACATATTAACCATCGAATACTAGAGTGTATATGCAACTGGAAGACAATGGTACTAAGAGAATTTTTAAAATGCACTGTCATATATGTAAAATGTAAGTTTCTCCTTTCATTCCCTGTTCTGGTCATAGTGCTTCTTTCAGTGCTTGTGTTAATATTCCCCATTTATGAAGAAAAGAAATTTGTATGTGAGAGTGGCACATTTATCTGATTGTCCATGGAAACTTTCTATGATCGAAATAACCAAACTAAGTGTTGTGCCTTCTTTTTGCTTCAGATTCTCACTATTTATTCATTCTGAAATGAGGACACACAGCAGGATTTTTGTGGGTTTTGTGGGTAAATTCCAGTATACTCTAATGTACAATCAGTGTCGATTTTGAGAGAAAATGCTTTGACCCTGTCCAACCAGCCTGGACCTACTGAAGTGGATTCTCCTTTGCTCAGGTACTTGTTATCCTTTGCTTCTCATTCTTCCTTCAGCCTAGCAAGACTAATTCTGAGGCCATGTTATCTTGTTAACTTATTTCTGCATTCATAGAAGTTGAATTCCACATACACTCCTAGTACTGGCGATAGACCAGTACTAATGTGTGAGGAAAAACCTCCCGGCCTTCTCAAAGCATGCATTCCAATTATAAGTGGACAATCAAGAAACAAGTGAAACACCGTGTCAGAGAGTGATATGTTCTTCAAAGGAAAAGAGAGTCAAAGGAGGACATCAGCGCTTCTATACATAAAAGGGTATCGGCTATCACAGAAGAAGTGCTTTCAAACAGAAGCCAATGCAAGGTAGAAGAGTTCTGAACTCAGCTTGTCTTGTGTAACAGAAGTCAAATAAGTTTCAATATTATAAAGATAGATGGAAATTATTTAACTCAATCTCTTTTATAAGACCAGGAATTTGTTTTGCTCTCTTAACTCACACTGATGTTCTTTGTCTTGTCCATAAACATGTCTACAGGGGGAACTCCCAACAGCCCCCATTAGCAAGAGCCTGAGGGCGGTCAGCACTTCCTCATCCCCATGACTGCTTGCAGTCCACTCTTCACCTTTCTATCATTTGGTCTAGCATCCCCTACAGCCTTAGAAGACCTAATTTATATCTTCCTCAATGTCAGTGCTCTTTTTCTGTGTAAAGCCAGCCACATCCAACTACTATGACTTTATAAATTACTGCCTAATTTGTCAGTCTGTCTGTCTTCTTCTATTAGTTTCTAATTCCTTTAAGAGCATGGTCTACTGTGGTCACTGTGGTTTCTTGGTTTGTTGAGCAATTTGGAACATAAGAAGAACTTCATAGATGCTTGCTTTTTGGAGAAATGGATTTAAGTTCCATCATTGTATCAGGAGAGGAGAAAATCCAGGTCAACTTTAAATGCCCAATTCTTTTAAACAAATAAGTAAGCTCAAATGCAGGAGAGTGAATATTTATCAGTAAAAAAAAATATGTATACTTACCTCTTTCAACAAGTTCCTGTTGTTCATCTGAGTTTCTGTGGAAAATAAGAAGTATAAATTTCTACATTCTTAAGAAACACTGAGTTCAATTGTCACTCCATTTAACTGCATTAATTTTATTCAGTGTATTGTAGGAAGCAATAATGGAGACAAAGTGGATAGACAGGGAAGAGAGAGAAGGAGAAGAGAGGAAACAGACAGGAAAAGACAGGAAGGGAGGGAAGAAAGAAGAGTGGAAAGATGGAGAGGTGAGAGGATGACTAGGGGTAAAGAAGAGAAGGGAGAGGGAAGAAAGCCCACTGGGGGGTGACTTAGCTGATCTCACATAAGTAACTAGACTATCTAAATCTTCCTTTTTCATAAAATAAGGCTCTTCCTGGGCAAAGAAATAAATGCTCCTCTCCATTCCTCCTTTCTTCTTCTTGCCATTCCTAGAAAACCCTGACCCACTTTGTACTAACAGAGCAGCTACATTGTTTTTATCCCTCTTTAGTAAAACAAGTATTAAAGCTAGAAAATACAAATACTTAACATAAACCAAAAACATCATTAAAAAAGCCTTCACTGCAAGGTCAGTTCTCAGCTTGACCTCATGCCTGCCTCTTTTCTTGCACTGTTTTGGCTTTTTTTAAGAACCAGAGATTGAACTCAGGCCTTGCACTTGTCAGGTAAGTGCTTAATCTACTGAGCTATCTCCCTGGCCCCTCTTTTCTTGCAGTGAAGCAGTTAGTTCCCTCCCAGGTGGATGGATGTGAGCCAGAGCCTTATTGCCACCATTTTGTGTCAATACATACATCTACTCTTACCTAGATTGATTCTTGTGCAGATCATATATTTTGTAGAGAACCACAATTAGAGCTATTGATGTCACAACAATCAAAAATGCCAGGAATCCAATCAGTGCTTTGGAATTATCTAGAAATTCAAAAATGTGAGGAAAGTTTATTGCATCATATATTTTGCCACATTAAATAATCACTTTTAAAGAAATTACATGTTAATATTTTAATTTCCTATGAATTTTTCCAAAATAACAAAATTCAGGATAAGATTAAACACCACAAATTTCTAATTTTGTATTTTGACTATGCTATTCAGAACATGTACAATCATTTATATTTGAAGAGAATAATTACAAAATAAAAGACCAGGTTCCTTCTCTCCATTAAATAATACTATCATTTAGATGTAATTCTTTCTGTCACCTCATTTAAAAGGGATTAAGTAAGTAATCCAGCCATTATGATTTTCTGAAAGAATCGCATACTGTTTAACTTTGCATGCAGAACTAAGTTGCATCCTAGGGGGATTAGAAAGGCTTCTGACCCACAAAGATAAACCTTCTTGCAAGCTCCCTGAGGTATGAAATCAATTAACCAAGAGACAAAAAAATATGTCAGTTGACAGTAAAGAACTGCCCTGAGTTAAATTTTCTCTAAGGCTTAATGTGAAGTCACATCTTTTCCTGTGGTAAAGGCTGAGAAAAAGACAGTGCACTAGAAATGTCTTTGCCGTGAATTAGTGTTTTATAATTGGCACTCTATACAGTGAAGTGCAGCCGAATAGAGCAGTTCAAGAGCCTCAGCTCCTGAGCCCTGGGCTCCAGGTCTAGCTCCACAACATTTTAGTTGAGAACTTGCTCAGAATCTTTATTTTGTATTTCTGTTCTTTAATTCCTACAATGAGGCTAAGTAGATTGACTCACAGAAATCAGTAGGATGCTTGGAACATAGTAATTATCATTCACTAATCCAAACAGTATTTAAATTTTATTCATTTACTTTAATCAGTACATGTTTGAAGTACATAATGTTTACATTCCCTCTGAAGTTGGTGCATGTATGAAACACATTTAATCCCCTTCCCATTTGAGAAGCGTCTATCTCCCCCTACTTCTTATTATTTATTTTGCTTTTTATCTATAGTTTGGGTTTCTCATAGAAAAGAAACTGCAACATTTAAGCTTGTGTGCCTTATTTATTTCATTTAAATTTATGGCCTCAACAGTGTGCCCATTCTCCCATTAATAACTCAGATTTGTCTTTCTTTCTGACAGAGTAGTACTCTGCTGTTTGTAAATGTCATATTTTCTTTTTCCATTCATCTCTTAATGATTGCTTCCAAGATTTAGCTATTATGAATTGCGCTGCTGTAAGCACAGATATTCCTATACCACAATAGTATACTGTCTTTAACTCTTTTGTGAAGATATCTGGAGAGGGGAAAGCTGGGTCAAATGGAATGCCTAGTTTTAGTCTTTGGAGAGCCCATACTGATTTCCACAATGGTAGTACCAGTTTACATTCCTACTAACAATAAGGAAGGGTTCTTTTTTCCCTGCAGCCTCACCATATTTTTGAGTTTTATTGTCTCGGTCACTTTGTTCTCACTGTAACAAAATATCCGATCCCCAAAATTAAGGGAGCAAAGGTTTATTTAGCACACAGTTTGTGGAGGGTTCAGGCCATACTCAGCTGGCTCCAGGGCAGAGTGGCACCTGGCAAAGGGCAGCAGTTCATGGCAGAGGACAATGGTGAAAGCAGGAAGTGAAAAGAAAGCAGTGGTAGCAATCCTTGCTTTCTGTCCTCTATATTATATGCAGGCTACCCACCTGAGGGTGGGTCTAGAGCTCACATCCATAATCTCAACATTGGACCATGAGTCAGCCATAAACTCTAGAAGTCCATCCCATGACTGAGTAAGGCTTTGGGGACACAAACCATAATAGTAGATTTCGCATTTTAAATTTGATCTTTATTCCATTTTGACTTGAGTTAGTGCATTAAAAACATTATACCACAGTGATACATGTGCACTGTGTTTACAGCAACACAGTTTGTAATAGATAAATCTTGGAAACAACCAAAACATTCATTAGCCAACCAAGGGATGAAGAAAAAAATGTGAAGAAAATAATTTTGAAGAAAGTTTTGAAGAAAAAATGAAGAAAGAAATTTTATATAATGGAGACTACTCAGTCATAAAGAAGAATGAACTTGATAGTTTTATAGGTAAGTGAGTGCAACTGGAGACCATACTTATAAGTGAAAAAAAATCATATGCACATGTGTAAACACCATATTGTGCGCAAAGCTAAAAGCATATATCAGATCCAAAATGTACAGTATATACTGTGAAATGGGAAGAAATTTTTGAAAAGAAAGAGAAACTGGAGTGGGAGAAAGGAGAAAAGAAGGAATGGAAAAAATATATATATATATATATTAGTCGAGATAGTTATACTACTAATTTCTCTTATTTCATTGAAAATAAAGGTTTGTGTTAATATTGTTCAATTTTGCATACCTATATACCCTACTCTGAGTAACTACTTTGCAAATAACAATATGCAGTGTATTAAAGACTGTTACTTTATCATCTTGTTTTGAAAGTTTGCTTTATTTTTTTTTCTTTAACATAAAAAACATATTAAGCACCAATTGCAGGAATAAGTATGGCTTGGAGCACTGATGTCTGGTCATTGTTGTAATTTCTTGTCAAGTCCTTGCAGGGTATTCTATTGTACCAGTAATACATTTTCTTTTTACTAATAACCTTGCAGGAGTGCAGTCTACTTACATGGTTTCAGTCCTCTACCCATCCATACCTCTAGAATAAGCACTGCATTACAGAAGATAAAATCACTTCTACTTCACAGATGAAGAAACTAAGAGTTAGACAACTTAATCACTGTATCCTGTGTTATAAGTCAAAGAAGAAGCTGCCACAATTCAAATTCAGGTTTTACTGTTTTCACCTGAAATTAATTTTCTATTTTTATGTTCAAGTTGTAGCAGATTTGATTATAAGATACAGTGCATCCAGCAACCCTTGCTTGCCTGCATCATTGCCATCTCTCAGTTTATACAACTGTTTCATAATTGAGAACTCTAATGGCCACGTAGAAAAGCAGGCTTCCCCTATGTCCCACTTTTTTTTTTTTTTAATTTTGTGCAGGGTCTCACTACACAGCTCGGACTCCTAGTGATCCTCCTGTTTTTAGCCTCCCTAGCACTGGGATTACAGGAATGAGCCACTCTGCCTGGTCTTGAATGCCAGTTCAGTGCTCCCGGGTGTGTGGCTGGTGCAGCATGTGGTGCCGGGGATCGAACCCAGTTCCTGCACTTGCCTAAGCAGGTGCTTGGTCTGCTGAGCTATCTCACCAGCCCTCCTATATCCCACTTTGATTACTTTTTCCTAACTATGAGGAAAACCCTATGTCATCCCATTCCTTTGTTTACCACTCTAGTGCCTAGTTCTCCCAGTGAAAATATGAATTTTCTGAGAACTGACACTTGCTTGACATTCCCTACTGTCTCCCTTTCTACTCCCTATACACCTATCATCTCCTGACCTACAGTACCATCTGTGTACTTAATATGCCTCTGTATTTTTATCTCTCTTTCCTCTCTAGAAAAGTAAGTTCCATGGGGACAGATTGACTTCATTCTCTTTGGGTTTCTGGATCACCTGGTAGTTTTAGTTTTAATTTTTTAACAACCTTAGTACTAGTTCCCATAATGACTGTGTTACTTTACATTTCCATCAGCTGCATTCTAGAGCTCCTTTGCCTCCATGTTTTCCCTGGAGCCAGTTATCTTAATAACAGTAATTGTTACTGGGATGGTGTGATGCTTCACTGAGATTTGACTTGCATTTTCCTGATGACTATTGATCTGTTGGCCATTTTTGTATAACTTCCTTTTAGAAATATCTACACAGATCTAGTTTCCATTTTTGATCACATTATACTTTATTATATCTTGCTGTTAGAAAAAGATTTTGTGATTTTGCAGTTCCCTATGTATGATATTCAATTATAAATCCTTTGTAAAATGTGTAGTTTGTAAAAGCTTTCTCCCCTTCTGTAGGCTGTCCCTTCACTTCTTGTTTCCCTCACTGTGCAGATTGTGGGATACAGCCCTATTTTTGCCTTTAGATTTTTGTCCAAAAGAATTCCTTTCTCACTGCAGTGTCTGAAGTATTTCCCTTGTCTTATTCTAGTGATCTCATAATTTGAGGACTTACATTTAATTATTTCATCTCTTTTGGGATGATTTTTTGTATTGATGGGAGAGAGAAAGTCTAATTTTCTTCTTCTTCTTAGTGGGGACAACTTATTCATCACCTTTTGTTGAGAAGACTCTTCTTTCTTTAATGTTTTTACCAACTTCATCAAACAGCAGTGGTGTACAGATGCATGTGTTTACCATTAAGCTATCTGTTATTGGTTGAGGTACTTACATTTATTCCAATATTATGCTCTTTTGACTGTTTTAGTTTGTCGTGTAGTCTGAAGTTAGGTAAAGTAATGCCTCCAATTTGTCCTTTTTGCTAAGGATATCTTTAGTTATCTACGAGTTTATCACAGATCTGGGAGTTTTGTGATCCCATGTAAATGTTGATTCTTTTTATAGTTCTAGGAAGAATTTATTTGGTATTTTCATAAGGGTTGCAGTAAATCTGTTGATTGCTTTTGATACTGTGGACATTTTAATAATCTTCATTGTTCCAATCTATGAACATGGCATGTCTTTTTTGCATTTCTTGTAATTTCTACATTATTCTCTAATAAGTCTCATGCTAGATATTCTATACTTTTTTGTCATATGTATTTCTAGTTTTTTGAGTTCATTTTTTAGATTATTTTCCTTTTGTGAGATAAGCTTTGTTGTGCTGCCCAGGTTGATCCCATATGCATAATCCTCCTGCCTGAGCCTCCCAGTTAGCTAGGATTACAAATACAGGTCTTCGCATCTGGCTTGAGGTTCTTTTACAAAGAATTATATTTTTGATTTTTACTTCAGAAAATTTTCAATTGATGTATAGCAGTGCTACTGATTTTTGTGCATTTATTTCCCATTCTATTTGGAGGGTCTGGTGGATGATAATCATGGTTTGTGTCTAGATATTCCCCAAAGGCCTCATGCAGTGATGGGATGGGATTCTAGAGTTTATGTCTGACTCATCGTCCAGTGCTGGGAATATGAGAGTGAGTGCCAGACCATCCCTAGAGTGGGTAACCTGCATACATCACGAGGGCAGAAAAGAAAGGTTCACTTGCTGCTGCTCCTCCCTTTTTGCTCTTGATGATTTTGCTGTTTTCTGTTGCCAGCTGAGTAGGGACTAAAACCCCACAAAATGAGCTAAATAAAACTTTCCTAACAGAATTTTGGTCATTGCATATTTTGTCTCAGAAACAAGAGAAAAGTAACTAACACATCTACTGGAGGAGAAAAGAAAATCTTGAAGACATAGGTGTAGGTAGATACTTCATGAACAAAACTCAGACTATACAGAAAACAGTACAAAGAATAAACAAATGAGATATCACCTTATTAAGAAGTTGTAGTAGATCAACAGAAATCACCGACAAAGTGAAAAGGCAACCCACAAAATGGGGAAAAAATATAAGTCGCTCAGACAAAGGATTTATATGTAAAACAGGTAAAGAATTTTTTAAAAATCAGATCCTCTCAAATTCAAAGATCAAATCCAAAAATGGTCATCTGAGATAAATATTAATTTCTCAGATGAACAACTACAAATGACAAAAAAATATGAGAAAAATGTTCAACATCATTAGTCATTGGAGAGATGCAATTAAAAGAAGACTGAGATTCTCCCTCACCCCAGAAAGAATGGCTATCATCAAGAAGTGAACCAATAACAATGCTGGAGGGGCTGTAGGAAAAAGGAAATCCTTCTCTACAGTTGGTGGGAGTATAGACCAGTGAAAACATCATGGAAATCAGTATGGAGATTCCTCAAAGAAGTAGGATTAGAGTTCTCATTCAATACAAAACTGTTAAGTAATCAGTATGGGACTTTGCTTTGATAAACATATCAATAAAGTAGCCAAACCTTCAAACATATTCTCTAGTCTAGTCCCATGTATTTTTCCTCCATTAACATTAAGGAACTGAGAACTACATGCCTTCATAATGGCAGAAAGAAGAGTAATTACAGGTAGAACAATTTCAAAAAGTTTTAAAGAATATAAAATAAAGGAGCAGAAGCTATAACCTAAATATCATGCTAAAAATACTTACGTTAATTACTCAGAATACTTCAGTCTCAAGTTGGGGGGCAAAATATACAGTGGAGGTAAATCACAAGACAGAAAATGAAACAGTCAAAAGTCTGCGTTGACAGAACAATGTGTACAATATTCTACTCTTTAGAAAGAGTAATGTGCACAACACATACACACAACACAGAGAAGAAACCATAAGAAAAAGAGAAAGAGTTAAAAGTAGTTATTTGGTAAACTACATAAAGGATGGGGAATGTGACCTACATATGTTGTTTTCACTATTATATTACTTAAGGAATTTTTTCATGCATACCATTATTTTAACTAAGATATTTAAAACCTAATAATACACATTTAAATAGCCATATTGTCACTAAATAATATTATCTTCTATAAGGTAAATCAAGATAAAATTATACCTAAGTCCCACTGCAGGGACAGAATACATACAAGACAGACAAAGATAAAAAGATAACAACCTCTAACAAGAAATAACAAGACAAAGCCATAGTTTTTAAAAATTACCATGAACATCATTATAACTTAATCATCTGTGTAGATAAATCCCCTTATCAAATATCTTATAAAAACTCCTTTAGTAATGGTTTTCCAGTTTGCATTTAAAATATTGCTTTTGGATATGATGTTCATCTATATTTACCCTGCCACCTTAAAGTACTCTATTTATGGAATCTAAAATTTAAACATCTAATGAATGTATAGATATAATATAGGTTTATAGTAGTTAATATATAAGTTATATAGATATAATAAATAATCCAGTGGTGACTTACAAGATGTTGTGTGATATTTTACTTCTGGTATTCCCTTATATTCACCATTGAAGGAATATAGCTAAATTTTAGTAAAGAAAAGAAAAAAATTAACTTATCTTATATATCATAATATAAAACATATTATTTCTCATGCAATTTTTTTGTTTTCATTAAAAATATACAGATTTGCCAAGCGTGGATGCTCACATCTGCAAACCCAGCATTCAAGAGGCTGAGGCAGGAGGATCGCCAAGAGTTCAAGGTCAGCCTGGGCTACACAGCCAGCCCCTTCCTCAACAAAGCAAAAGTATACATATTTGAAGTTAAAACTTTGAAGTTATGTGAATATATTGTTATCAAACATTTTTGAAAAAGTAGTCCAAAAGAGATTCAAAAGAAATGAGCTATTTTAGCAACGATAATAATTACAATAAGCAAGAATAAATTAAGATAATTGAAAAAGTAAATTCTAATACATAGTTACTCTTAATTTAAAATTCAATTTCTCTACTAAAATATTAGTGTTTTCATTTTTTATTTTAAATAGGAAATTCAATCACATGCTAGTTACAACCATTGTACATAAAATGCACTTTTTTAAATAAGAAATTGACATGGAGTACAATTTACAGTGTAGACATAACTAGCATAGCCACCTATCTCATAATATTCAATACAGTGAAAAAAAAAAGTTTAGATAAACCAAAAAATTGAAAGGAATAAAGAAACAATGATCATCTTAGCACAAAATGAATTTATATAAAAATAGATTTGAATATCATTTAAAAAGATTAATTACAAATATAAGAAACCTTACAAACATCTAAGCTTCACCCTATAGGATAATAAAGTGACATTCCTAATATTGACAGACCAGTCAGAAATATGAATCATATATTATTATAAAGAAATAATTGAAAGGTTATGTTATTTACTGATAAGTGGGTTTGCTGAACATTGTTTATATTAAAAGTCTATGCAGTTAGTACAAAATGATAAAACTATACCAGAATATTACACAGCTATTAAAAATTTCAAAGTTGGAGTCGGGGAGATAACTCAGTAGAATAAGTGCTTGCCTGGTAAGCACAGGGCCTAAATTCAATCCCCAGTTCCCCTCACTCTTCCCCTCCCCCGAAAAAAAAAATTAAGTGTTAAACTATTTAATGTGGAAAAGATGCATGATATAATGATATATGAAAGACAGTTTACCAGATTATGAATATACAATGTTGATAATATATGCAACATATAGAATGCGTACGAATACACTATACATTCTGAAAGTATGTTCATAAAATACAATCAGATGCAATAAACAATGAGATTATGGGTAGCTTCTACTTCTTGATGTTCACTGATACTATCATTTATTTCTAGCATTTTCTAAACTCAAGGTGCATTCAAAAGCTTTCCACCTGAAAACTTTCATCAAGAAAGATAAAAAAGGAATAAAGGAAAAATATGACACAGTAGCCGTCTATTGTACAATGTTTTGTTTTTTGATACAGACAAAAATGACCCTGCAAGTGAAATATTTTAATGTTGCAAAATATTCTTAGAATACATTTGCTTTAAACCTCTGTTGTCGATTCAAGGGATAAATAGTTTGGAGGATTTTTTTAATTGGAAACTTCTTGAAGTTGATGCCATTGGACATCAGAGCCCTCACAGGAGCACTGTTCTTTACAGCATGTGAGTACTAGACATTTATCTTATAATGTTAATTGAAACCATGATGATCATAGAAACTGACTTACCCAAAACTCATAGTCTGTTGAATATCCAAGGTGGCTTACTTTAAATGTGCAGGTTTTCTGGGACTCATTGAAAACTTTTGCAGACCGATCATGTTTAGGATTGACTTCCAAGTTATAACTCAAACTAGGGCCATTTGTCTTCTCAGGATGGCTACAACTGACTTCCACGCTATTATCTGATGTCGGGATTAGTTTCACCATTCTTACTGAGCTTGGAACTATTAAAATAAAGAAAGATTGATTATTTTAATTATTCTCCAGTGTATATTTAAGTTACTGGACAATATGCACACAATATAAGGTATTTAAGAGTTACTTTGCAAGTACACAGCACATAAGTGAAAAAACAAACAAAAAAACCTACAACAAAGTATTTAAAAATAAACAGGGCCACTAATATAGTTCAGCAGATTAAAGTGCCTGCTTAGGCAGACACAGGGACTGGGGTTTGGCCTCCTGCGTGTTGTGCTAGTCCCGTCCACAGGGCATGCTAAAATGGTGACTAAGATTGGGCATGGTGGCCTGTGCCTGTAATCCCAGCTCTTGGAATGTTGAAAACAGGAGGATCACTATGAATCCAATCTGTGTCGTGAGACCCTATAGTCCCTGTACTAAATTAATTAATTAATTAATTAATAACCTATTTATTCAGTTAGTATGAATATATGGGTGGTACTTTAACTTGTGAGATTTCATGCAATCCCTGAAGGAGACTGTGCAAAATGAGAAAGTAGAGAAACAATGGAGGGAGAGAAAATGGAAACCCTGTAAGGCCTCCCATGTAAGCCCAACTCCTTTTTCCTGGAGGACTGAATTTATTCCGGTAAAACCAGTAAACTCATTCAAAAACAAGCAAGAAACTTTCTTTGCTTTCTGTGAAAGCACTGAAACTCAGGAAGACAACAGAAGCACTGAGCTCCAGACCTTGGACTATTTAGTGAATAGCCTAAATGACCTGGTGATTTTTACCCTAGCCAGGATTAACAGGTACTCGTTGGGATCTCTAGAGCTGTAGATGCAGCTGCACTCAGAGCCATTCCTTCTTCCCTGTCCTGAGGGGAAGCGCACCCTCAGAAGCAGATCTAGGTTGAGGCCTGGAAAACTATAGACGTCAACCAATGGCGAAAGCCAAATGCCACAGCAACCTCCAATGGAAAATGTGACATGAAATAAAAATAACAGTTAGTTCAGTGTAATTGAAGGAAGAAAATGCCAACAAAATACTGTGTGTTATGAAGTGTTTTATCAGGGGAATACAGGCTAATTTCACTTCTGTAATATAGTGATTGTTAGATGACCTACTGTCAATGTTTTAGTAAAGTCAACAATAGGAATTTTTTTGTTTTTGCTTTTTTCCATGATTTTATTGAGAAACAAATAGCAATGAGACAGTCTCAAACCAAATTAGTAGGACAGTTTCAATAATTAACATGTTGCATACATTCTTAATAGGATTTTTTTAAGTCTAAATTAGGTCCTTAAATGCCTGAAATCTCACACACAGCACTAAAGTGTCCTCAGCCTTTGTTCCTACAATTGTACAACTACATCTGAAGCCTACAGAGAGCACAAGTATCAGTTTTTAAAATTTTTGTTCAAATGTATTATAAACCGTAGATCCTAGCATATGTCCCAGATTAAGATATTTCCCAAATGAAGCACAAAGGTCAATGAACAGTGAGCTGAAACATCCTTTACTTCTCCCTCACCAAACAGGAAAAGAAGCGGAAAAGCATAGAACTTACCTCCAGGTTTTGTTTCAAATTTACAAGGCACAGCACTCCCGTTGCGTTGCACTTTTCCTTTGACATAGGCAAATAATGATCCAGTATAGTTTGTATAATATTCCAAAGGACCTAAAGTTTTATTTGGCTCAATGTTTTTTAGAACCTGGATCTCAACTTCTTTTCCTGTGAAAAAATAGAAAAATTTAGTCACTAAAGGTCAGGATCACGACATATTTAATTTGCTTTTCATTCTAAGCTGATTAAAAACTGAAGAATGACTAAAAAGGTAAGGATCTGGGGCTGAGAATGTAGCTCAGTGGCACAAGCACCTTCCTGACAAACACAGGTCCTGAGTTAGAATATTATACAATACTAATTTCAAAAATTAATTCTTAGAGGTCATGAAACCAAGAGAAAACTTCGTCCTGTGCAGCCCAGTGACAAATAAGAGAAGAGGAATTGGTGAAGGTGAAAAGAAATGAAAGTACTGAGATTAGAGGCACATCTGACAAGGAAAGCTGACCAGAGAGGCATATAAGAGGCTAAGCCTTGTTTAAGGGTATGTTAACAGGCACTAGTTGTTGAGATTTTTGAGTAGACAAATGACATGAGAAAAAGTGGGTTAAAACAAGGTTAGCAAGGAGTCACATCCCTGATCTATATTTATTTGGTAACATTTGTAACCCAAATGATACAAACAATGAAAATTATTCACTCCATATGCCAAGCACTGCTTCTGGAACTCATTCATTTTACTTTTGCAATGGTCCTGTAAATTGGCACCCTTGTTATCATTTCTATTTTATAGATGATACCAAGTAATGCGTGCAGAACCTCACAGGAAAGCCAGCGTGAATCCTGAAGGGAACCCAAGCCTGATATTTCCAAGTCTGTCCTTCAGTCTTCACTGTTTCACAGATAGCCTGGGGTAGGAAGGTGACAAGTGCCTACAGTAGGGCGGAGCTTCACTTCTCTTGAGCACCTCCCTTTTCTGCTGCACTGGGATAAGCATGGGACTTGTAGAAGCAATGAAGGAAAAGATCTAACTCACGCTTACTTCTTGTCTAGTTACATACTTATAGAGCATATAGTAATACCGCATATCACCATGGGAGTATGAATAGTAGGATAAGATAGCTGGTTCAGCCTGATTAATAGAGCCTATTTCTCAGAAATCCCCAAAGCTGGGGTTAATTGATATACATCTGGTGGCTGTCTTTCTTTGTCCCTTGTGAGACTTCTCTGAAGACAAAAAAGATGTGACCTCAAGACAAAGACAAATGGGGACCTCTTATGTGATGGTTGGAACCTCCTTATATGTGGCCTGGTTTTTAGGACAACACACTGCTTATTGCGATGAAGTCCAAATGTCAAGGTACTATTTTTAAGAGCAACCTGGCTTCTGTTTAGTGACCTAATTATGGGTGTTGGATTATATATAATCTCACAATCACTCCATGCCAAAATAAATTTCATTGAGACATTTTTATAAAGCTTTTATCTTAACCAGTCTGACAGAATTCAAGCTGTTGGTTTTATTTTTGAACACAGCATTGTTCAAAGACCTTGTCATTGGAAATTTTTTTTAAAAATCAGATTGCATCGAAGTTTTCAGGGCTTAGAAAGATAAGTTGGAGTGTTTATTAGATTGAAATTCCACATGGTGGTTAAGACTTGCTGGCAAAGGGGCAGCATGCACACTGTGCCCCCACCACGGACTCTGGCACACGAGCAGCTGTGTAGTAGACAAAGTGCAGAAACCGAGGAAAGCATCCAGGAAAAGCGAAAAAGGATTAAAGAAGAGAACACTAGCTCCACTTTTTTCCTGTCTC